GTTCTAGATTAGGAATTTCTAAAAGAATAGGAACATGTGAGAAAATTGCCAAATAGGACCTTAGGAAAAAGGTAATTACTAGGCTAGATTTCTTTTGTCTTATCACCAAACAAAAACAGGTAAAGTTTATACGTGTATCTTATGGTTATACATACATATGTGTAAATATATAATGTAATATATCACGTATTAATCAAATCAAATCAGATTTTTTCACATTGAATCGGGGATATATTTGAATTCAATCCAATAAGTAAACGAATCGAATTTATTGATTTGATCCAATTCGATAGTCCGATTAGGTATATTCGAATCCGACATAATTAGATCAAAATCCAATCCATTTTCACCCCTATATAAGTTCCATTATCCCCCTCTTTAGTGCCTAATTTATGATAGATCTCATTGAATTCCTTAAACTAAACTTCACTTTCTTCCTAACTTCCTTTCTTATGGTTTTAATTTTTCAAGTGCTCTCTATTTTTAGTCTTGCCAATCTTTATGACATGCTCGTTTTAACATGACTATATTTTGAACCTCTTCATTCAACCAACCTCTTCCCTTTGGATCACCCTAAAATGTCCTTTCCTACTTTATATCTTCAATCACCTATCATTAGTTTTTCCATCTAACTCCACTTTCCTTCTACTAACAAGCTAACTCTAAATTGTGCTAGCTTTTTTTTCTTTTAGGTTTCCCCACCCAATTCTTCGACACCTACTTTCTTCCTTATTTCCCTTCCATTTCCTGATGCGCACATCTACCACCGCTATTCTATGTTGTGTTACTAAGCTTTCCCCTAGAATAACTTTAGATTCCTTATACACCATTCATTTTGTTCTCCTGGTAACGAAAAATCTATTTTACATATGTTTGGTCCACTTTTAAATGTTATTCAGTGTTCATCCTTCTTTTTAAAATATGTTTACTATTGCCATATCATACTATTACAAATTTAAAAATTGTATCTCATGTTTCATTCCTCTATCCAAGCACAAATCCTTTGTGCACCGTATTATATCCTACACTTCTTTTCCCGACAATCCCATTTAGGTCTCCTCCTATAAGAATCTTCTCTTCATTTGAAATTTCTTGAATTAATCCTTCTAATTTCCCCAAAATACTCTTAATCTTCTAAACCCACTTGTGGTGCATAATGTAACAATGTCTATTGTAATATAATAAACTCATAAAAATATAAATACAGTACCTTTTATAAAAACAAGCCATCACTATAGGTTCCTACCTAGGCATTGCCCTGACAACTAGGATTAGTCTCTGCAAGGCTAAAGATAGTACATAAAAATGAAGTTATATATCTAAAAACAAAGTAAACAAGGTAAAGCTCTAAGCACAACAATAGACTTGTGCCTTTCCATAGTAAGTGACCATGATTAAGGTAAAACTCAAGCACCTTGTCACATCTTGCTTGAGCAAAGGATAAAAGGAACTTGTAGCTAAAGGTTTATTGGCAATGGAGGAAGGTTCTAGTCAAGGATAGTGTTTTAAAAGCGCAAGGTGCAAAAATGGTGCAAGGGCCAATTTGCACCCGAGGCGCAAGGCGCAAGGCGAGGCACACACCTTTTTGAAGCAAGGCGCAAAACTACAAAAATTTGCTAAAAATAAAAAAAAAGGCCAAAATTTTTCAAAAAATGCAAAAAATAAAAAAAAAATATATTAAGCATAATATTAATAAGAAATCTAAACTTAAATTTTAAAATTAATGGTTTACAAACCTATTGTCTAAAATTAAAATACATAAACATGACATGTAAAGCATATTTAAATGAAAATTTAAAAATAAAACCACATATTAAACATTTTCTAGCATGTAAAGCCCATAATCTCTTTTTTTCCTCAATTGCATTACTTAAAGTAGCTAATGTGATATAAAACATATTATATTCTTAATTCTACGAGTCGCCTTTGTGCCACGCCCCTCGAGGCAAGCCCAAACAAGTCCATGTAAAACATATTACATTCTTGTTTGGGCTTGCGTCAAGGGGTGTGATTGAGGTTCAAGGGCGAAGCCCTCGGCCCAACCACTAGATTCAGAAAAGCGTACAATTTTCAAAAGGAACATATTTGGGCCAATGCGTATTAGGCTGGGTGAGGCGCCTATCCTAAAATGTGCCCTGCCTATGCGCTTCAGTGCACCTTTTAAATCACTGGTCAAGGCCAAAGTTTTTGGAGCCTTCTAGAGTGTTCTTCAATAGTCTAGAGTTCTCTAGAACTTTCTAGTCTTGTGGAGTAACATGGAGGGTTCTATGGCCTAGACCTAGAGATATCTAGAAGTATCTAGGCATGCTCTAGAGAATTCTATAAATAGGGACCCCTCCCTCGTTTGTAGCCATCCAAAGAGTGATCCAAAAGTCGTATGCCTTTGTAAAGCTTTGTGAGTGTAATACAAAGTTTATTTCCAACATCCCTTGTCCTGAATGTTAGTGTTCCTTAGTGTTCTCTTAACATTTGATCTCACCAAGAAAAGTAATCTTAAGTGGTTGTAATTCCGACTTGCTTGTGGGGACAAGTAACTTCCACATGACTTAGGTGAGGCAAGGTCAGGTTGTGACAACCACCTCTAAATCTCTTCTTTTCTCAAAAAATAACATATATTGTGAGACCATTTTGGAAAACACTCATGTTTTCTTAGAAAGAGCTTTTCCATATGACAAGATGTGAAACATGACTATTCGTTTTAATGCAAGATCAGCTATGTAATTTGACTTGTGCTCCTAAGGCATAAACTTAAGTTTTGATACATGTTCCCTGGATAACTAAGGCACCATAAAAGTTAGAGGGTCACCGAGGGATAGTGGGATCTACTAAACTCACCAATTCTGCTTATGGGTAAGGAACATTCATCCAAACAAGACTCTCTTTCTTTCAACATCTCTATATTGTTCCAATTTTACCGAATGTCTCCGAAGAGACATCCAATAAAATTTATAAATCAACTATGATTAAGTATTTTATGAAAAAATAAGCAATTGGAGATCTCTTACATTAGAAGTAGAACATTTTCTAATCAAAAATGAAAAATTTTTCCTATGCATCTAGAAGGAAGAACTTGTTTACTAGAGGCTGACTTTATTTCAAAGCCTAGCCGACTCCCTAGCAAATGACAAGCCTTGGGAAGCTAACTGTTTTGTGGGACACCTATACCATCTTGGCCCCCATTTCTTTGTCATATATGTATCCATATTGGGGATGATGACAGATAAATAATAGAAAGGAAAAAGGAGAAGATAAAAGGAAGTCCTCGTAATTAATGCTCCTAACAACACTGGATTTGGCTAAAGAATTCATCAAGCCTTTTCCCAAGCATGAAGCCAAGAGAACGAGATGTTCAACCTAGAAGCTGTAGTAAAGATCAACTTAATCAATCACCAAGTGGCATACTTCCTCCTCTTGGTTAGCCGAAAGATGGTACTCAAATGCTCAAACTATGATATGCTATTAATACAAGAAATACAAAGACAAGGAAGATTGAAGCCAACAAAAAGAAAATTGCTTTAGACCTATTAGGCTCCCCAATTTCTCTTTGTACAAAGAATTTTGTATATGACTTGCCTACTTTTACCAAACTCCCCAAATAATGCAAGGTCCTTGACTATCAAAAGAAAGCCCATGTAAGTAAACTTAATCCAAGCACAAGGGGAGGTATCAATAGCAACGTAACCGCTCAACACCAATACATAGAAACTCATGGGAATTAGTGCTACTGGGGATGAGGGGAATACTGAAACCTGTAGGTCTATTTTAAAACTAGAGAAATTGGAATCAGCTATTGTTATTTAAAAGAAGAGGAAAAAGGAGTAAATGTGGTCATAGAAGTAAAGAAAATGTGACAAGATGAAGGAAAAGGTATATGGGGGGAGAGCAACTGCTTGATCATCTGCATCTATTTAAGTACTTTGTTTGGACCATTTGTTTTGGAGGGAGGAGTTTCCAGATTTTGAAAGTGTCATTGCTAATGCTGATACATGTTATTGGCACGAATTCTAGCAGCATCAAGTTGGACTTTCAGGGGTTTCTTTTGGGTTTCTTCTATTGGGAATTCTTCTTGGTCAAGATAGTGAAGTGTTGAAACACTTTTTTTATTTTATATAAAACATAGGTGCATTCTAATATCTAAGGGGAGAATGGGGCTAAGGGATTTTCTTAATTTCCCTTGAATCCTTATCCTACTGTATACATTTGTATCTTCTTTGATGCAGGAGCTGATGAATCAAAATTGGAAATTTTGAATTTCTGTGTTTTTGGAGAATAGGGGTATTTTTGTCATTTTGATTATTGTATGTAGGGTGGTCCAGCCTATTGGTTTGATTTGTCGGTCATAGTTTAGTCATGTTTAAATTTTCAGTCATTGGTGAAGTAGTTTAAGAATTACTTAGTTTTCATAACTTGGTGTGGTAGAATGGTAATTTGAGTTCAATCCAATTGCAAACAAGTTCAGATCACTATAAGCAGATCACACCCAAATAAGAATTCAGACAAACAGATGCCATTTGCAACCCCAGAAAGAAAAATATGAACACATAAATTTACAAGTTACCCAAATATCCTGCATGGTAAAAATTATGCATAAAATGGCAACTGCAAACCAAGAAAATTTACACAGCTCATTAACAGAAACATCTACAGAGGAAATCTATGCATAATAAGAAATCCATTAATTAAAAGTTTTACAGAAAATGCAGACTTGACTTGACTCGACTTCCAGATCTTATTATGCTTTATTATCTGTATGTTATTAATTTGAATGGTACAAGGACAAGGTTACTAGGGGTCCACATTTGTTTCTAACTTGACTTCCAGATTCTAAAGCTTTAGGGATAAACCTAGGAATTACATTTTTCACTATATCATCTCGTGGGTATTCAAGTTTAGTTATATTCATGGCAATGGTTTAGATTAATTAAGAACTTTTCTTCCCCTATTCCACAGTGATGCTCAAATACATGCATGGACCTAATGTTTTCCTTCTTACATGCTAGTTCTGGCAAAGGGAGGCAGCAAACTTGAGGCAGCAGTTGCACAAGTTGCAAGAAAATCACCGGTACCATCTTCTCAGACTTTGAATTGACTGGATTTAACCATACAAAAAGCATGCCTAAAATGTTAGTCTATGAATGCAAGATCTAGAAGTAAGTTTTTGTTTACAATGTGTCTTCGTAATCCAATGAGAACATTGGCCTAAGCTATATTGTGGCCCCTCAAAAATAAGAACATATTGTAGTTAACAGGAATATAAATAACGGTAAGAAAACAGTAAAAAATCATTGGAAAGTTATAAGAACCCCATGGACATTAAAAAAAGGAGAAAATGAACATGAAAATGCAGTAATATTTTTGAAAATGAAAAAAAAAAACAAACAAGAAAGTAAAACTCATTTTACTACTATAAGCAAATCCTTTGGAAGATCCCTTGGTCAGACATTTGAATAGGAACTAGGGATAAGTAGTATTAGGGGGTAGGTGATGGTGATCATGCAAGCCTGGGATATTGCAGGTAGGCAGTTGCTGGTTTCTCTCAGCCCACCAACTGTATTTTCATGTATTCCTTCTTTCAATCCCATATTAAATAAAATTGCACTGACTTGTTTCCAATCAAAAACAAAAGTTGGGATTGACTTCACCTTACGGTGAAGCACACCAGTCGATGTCAAAAAACAATCTATACAAAGGATCAGGGCACAATCTATAGAAATTGCCACATTAGGAAATCAAACCCCAGAATAACTTAGCTCTAATTGCAACTTGTTTGGATAACCCATCTGCTAAACTTGTATATTCATCTTCCAAATGTTTAATTCCCCTTATGAAGTGCCTATATCCAGGAAGCAGTGCAATTGTCTCTTAGCCAATCCAGTACCTTATCCAGTATCAATCCTTGCAATACCAAGAGTACTTCTGCCCTAGTAAAATCACCAATACCAATATGTCCAGAAAACAAAGCAATTATATTCCTTTCACTGTTTCAAAAAGCTCCCCCTATGACTGAATTGCATGGCTTCCCCAAGTTGCAATTGTCAAGGTTTGAAAAATAAAATTAGGGATTGGCAGATGCCAAAGGGAATTAGAAATATTCCTTGCCAAAGAAATTGCTGCATCACATGCTGCCAAGTACTGATCATGTCATCTACAGAAAAAAGAGCGAAAAAAAAAATTATAGCCTTCACTTAATGTGAAACCTTTATGACATTGTTTTCAATTACATCTCCCTTACTTGAGTCTTTTCTTTAAGGTTTCTAGTATCTTCCCTATTTTGGATGGAGGGAAAACAAAAGAGGTATCAAATAACCTAGAGATGCCAAATAGGTGGTCTCCAGGTGGCAGTGAACAAATAATGCATGAGGTGTCCCAATATGGTCACAAAGTGCATGGGACAGAAACAACTGGTTTCATCATGATCCCTACATGGGCAGAAGGATAGAAGTCAGATGTTCCTTGTAAGCTGCAATAACTCACAAATGTTAACTCTCTGATGACATACAACAAAAGGCTCCAATTTTATGAAGGGTGGACCGTGGACCCAAATCCAAGAAAAGTCACTCCTTTCCCTTTATGATTCATAATGAAATATTCTCTATCAACCAAAGGAAAAAAAAAAAAAAACATGTTTTGCACATTGTAACAAAAAAGGAATGTTTGAACATTTTCAAAACAGAAATAGTCACTGCTGAGGCTACTAGGTTGCAGGTGAACCAATCCAATTGTTTGCGATGACCACTCAAGCTGCCCAAAGAAAAAATGAAAAACAAACTAAATCGAATTAAAAAATAGTAAAAAATCATAAGTCACGTTTTAAATCTATTTCATGTCAGTACAATTGTAAAGCAATAAATGTGGCACCTATAAATACAGTTATTGATGAAATCTTTAACCAAATAAATAGTTTGGGATTCAAAACCCAATTTTGGGATTGGTTTGTGAATCAACCAACCCATCAACTCCACTCCTGGTCCCAGAACACCGATTCCCAATTATTATCTACCAAAGATATGTTTTTAACCTGTTAGGAAACCTTAACGGATACACTGAAAGACTATAATTGTTGAAGAATCCACCTATTTCTCATAAATAAGCTCAAATCAAATCTGCCTTAACCCAAACTACTTGTATCTGGATTACAATAAATATAGTATATTTTCATGTAAATTATTTATAAATATATAACCAAAGATGTAGATGGTGTCTGTCTATATAAACCAAAGGTGTACATCAAGATGGTGTTTCCTACAACTCCACTATCTTACATGCAGGCAACTGATGGGAGAACAACTTTCTGGTTTGACTGTGAAAGATCTACAACATCTAGAGAACCAACTGGAAATGAGTTTGCGTGGTGTCCGTATGAGAAAGGTCAACAAATGCTAGTCTTCAATGCTTACTCAATAATCTTGCAATATTATCATATAAGAATTTAAATGGATTTTGCCTTCTACAGGACCAACTTTTAACTGATGAAATACAAGAACTGAACCGAAAGGTCTTCCCAGAAACAATAACCACCACATATCCCTTTTATTTGGCTTAACATTGGTTTCACTTGTAGGCTGTAGCTAACTTTATTGAGTTCATTGCAGGGAAACCTCATTCATCAAGAAAACATGGAACTTTACAAGAAGGTAAACCTCATTCGTCAAGAAAACATGGAATTGTATAAGAAGGTACTTGTTTCGATAATGAATAAAAACTACAAAAAAAAAAACTTATGAAACGTATATATCAAACTTATCCATTCGTTGGTATTTACAATCATCAAGTCCATGATAGAAAGAAAAGTTAACTAGATGAACCTGAGAATTAAGTTTCGGGTATCAGGTTTATGGAACACGGGATATCAATGGAGCAGACAAAAACACCATTATTCCAAGTGGTTTTAGAATTGGAGAGGACTTACATGTGCCCATCCATCTCCAGCTAAGCCAGCCACAGCAACAAAATTACGGCACACCAGCAAGTCCTACAAAGTTGGGGTAAAGTCTTCTCTTTGTTACTTTTGCAATAACTTCTCATTTTTATCTTGATCCCAATTACATTTCTCAAATATTGCAGCAGCTTACAACTGCAATAGGGAAGCAGAATGGTGAACTGTGGATGAATATTACAGGAATCTCCATCAACAGCATGCCCCATAGCTATGAAGTCATGCTTCTTCCAAAGAAATGTGGTATATGAGCAAGAAAGTTTATATTTCCATGGAAAGCATTAGAGTTCTGTGAAACTTGACCAGCAAGCAATCTATGTAAACTTCCATAACAATAAAAGTTCTTTGTGTGCTTGGTGTTCTCAGTTATCACTAACGTCTACTTGCATTTGGTATTAAGCGGTTTGAAACATGAACTGAACCATATAATGGTCACATGAACAACATTAACTAAAAATCTAGTAGAAACATAACCAACGGTGAAGCATCTGACACAGGAAAATCTTCACGTGTTAATCAAAACAAGTGAAGAAAGACAATACATCCACAATAAGATACTATATCAGAAACGACTTTGCAAGTAATCAATTGACAGGAAACTTTACCCAATGTTGGTTCTGGCCATCTGGGTTGAGGGCTGAACTGGACATGGACCTACCTTTTGCATTTTTTTTGCATAAAGTGACCACTCTCAGACTCAAACCCGCATTCTCGCCCTTGTCAGCCTTAACCTTTGTACCAAGCTATCGCCCCTAGAAGTCATCAATTGATACTAGCTAAAAATATGAAAAGATTTAGTTGTAGGGGCGATTACTTGGTTAATGGTAACACCTCAGGCCAGCAAGCGTGAGAATCTGGGTTCAAGTTTGAGAGCAACCACTTTGTGCAAAAAATGCCATGGTTAGGACCATATTCAGTCTACCCCTCCCAACACCCCAGATAGCTGGAACCAACATGGTGTAATGGCCTTTTATTTAGTTTTGAGTTTGTCTCAACTAAACACATTACGAACTTCAGAGGATTCTGATATGCAAAGTGCATCTCAAAGGAGTTACAGGTAAATAGATTAGAGGGAAAGCACAATATCTACTTTACTAGTTAGTATCCAGCTTAATTGATTATCCATCCATGCTGTAATATAACATCTTGGCATGTGCAGTCATGTAAACTGTGACCTTTCACAGAGAAACTGCATTTTTATTATAAATAAATGGAAGGAAATTTCTCCTAAAAAGAAACAAAAACTATTCTAAAAGCAGCAATTTCTCCATTTTAATGGAGAAAGTTAACATAGGTCTCTTATCTTATGTGGGTAATACTTGAATAGATTTCAGAGGTGAAGATTACCATGCTTTATGGTAAATTTTTATAATGCAGATTCATACGAGTAAACAATGAAACTTTCAATAGCCTTTCAAAATGCCAAGATAATTGATTAATTAGCATACTTCCCCAAATTGGAAATCATGCATATACATTTCCAGATGTTAACATAAATGGAAGAATTGACTTAGTAAAAGTGCCAAGAGCTCAGAGCAATTGGTACATAACATTTACCATCAAACCAGGAAGTTGATCAATGAAATTACAAAATCTGACTGCATAGTCAACATTTCAAGTGCTAAAAGGGGTAATCATAACTAACTAATGTTTCTTATAATACAATAACAAAAATTATACTATACACTTAAAAAAGGCCAATTGCGGGAGAAATGCACCAAATGCTAGACAACTTAATGAAAAATCTGTTGTCTGAGCAGGCTTAAGGGCATTTCATGATGTGATGGTAAAACTCAGGCTGACAAGAATAAATGCTAGCATTTCAACTATGGAACAGCCACTTTGTGAAAAAAAAAATGCTATCATTTAGGTTCATATCCAGCCCAGCCCTCCTAAGACTCCAGATAGCTAGGGCTGGCATGGGTAATGGACTTTTTTTTTGAGTGTGAACAGGCATAACAATGAGGAACAAACATTTAGACAATTCAACCTAGAAAATCTCCAAAATCCTATAGTGTTCCTTGGGGAAAAAAGTTCCTGTAGTGTTCCTTGGGGAAAAAAGTTCTTTAAATTATTAATGTACTTTTCATCACTGATCAAGAACAATAGAAATTATTAAATTATTAATGTACTTTTCATCTCCAAAGATTTGTCAGTGTAAAGGCACCTGAGTTTAAATCATTGACACGATTCACATCATTGACTGTCAATGCACATGCAGTACAGGAAACAGCAGTTACTATTTTTCTGGTAATCTCAAGTAGTTTTCTACATTAATAGAGATCCTCCATGGCAGATATAAAAGAAGAAAAAAACAGTACCATATTCCAATCTAAAGAATTTACCCCAGAATCAGCTTATCTATATATGTCTTTGTTCAGTAATACCTTAGCAATACTACATTTAAATTTGTACCCAAGAGGAAAAAGGAAAGACGGAATGAAAAAAAGAAAGAAAATCCCGAATTAATTTTTCCCACCTACCCAGACATGTCATGAAAGATATCGATCAGAAAAATCTAAATTAGGATGTAAAATTCTAAAAGAAGAAGGCAATCTTTGGGTCAAATGCTCAGAAACATGTATAAAGATCAACTTTATTTGAAACCCTAGATGATATAAATGCTTTATGGGCCAGGAGGGGAATTATATATTATAAAACATATCAGGAGAAAGGTCTAGTTTGGTAAGTCAGCAAGGGTGACAATAAATTCTTGACTGAGCCACAAACACAACCATCGAAGAGAGGATCCAAAACAGGGACTGGTTAACTGAAAATCTAGAGTTTAAAGTAGCCAATTAAAAAACCCACATAAAAAAATGTCAAACCTAAATACGACAGCAATTGATACCAACATCCATTCTAAAAGAAATTATGGCCAGACCTATCCCAAAGGAAAACAAAGATGATTATACCGGGGTCACTAATGTCAGGAAAACGATGATTCCACCTGATGATGCGCGATCCGGTCTGTCCTAGCTGCCGGTTACCTCGCTTCTGACGAGATCGGAGGTGCCTGAAACAAGGAAGAAAATGGAGGCTTCCGGGGAGGAACCCGGTTGGAATACTCCGAAGCTCAAGTTAGTGTTCTTCAGAAGGCAAGGGAAATGAGGAATTCTAAGACCAGAAAACGCAAGAATCACATACCCTCTTCTTTGTGAGATGGGGGCCTTTTATAATCACCCTGTGTGCTCATTTCCATGCCTCTGCCAGATCGGGTCACTTCCTTCTGTCGACTGCTAGTTCGGGTGTCATAACCTCCATTGCCAGTTACCAGGGCTGCCTCTGTCCGTCTGGGATGGCGGTGGCAGGTGGCCGTTGGATAGCGGTTGTCATGTGTCAGTCCTCTGATCGGTCAGGTGTTCCGCCTCCGTGTACGGTCTCCTGGGCATCAGGTACGATTGCTCAGTCAGGCGATTTGGAGCCGAAGAGGTATTTTAATGTGAAGTCTTGAATTCGGATAGGAGTATGGCCCGAACTGCCCCTAGGTGGGTAGTTCAGGTTTTCGGCCTTTGGTGCTCTTTGTAAGGCTCAGGACCTCAAAGGGAGAGCTTGGGACTCTTTAGTTCGGAGCTCGGTTTGTAGGTTCCTTCGAGGGAGCTTAACTCTCTTTAGTTCGGAGCTCGGGTTACAGGTTCCTTCAAGGGAGCTCGGCTCTTTAGTTCGGAGCTTGGGTTGCAGGTTCCTTCGAGGGAGTTTGGCTCTTTAGTTCGGAGCTCGGGTTGTGGGCCTACTGCCGTGCCGAGCTGGCGTTTCTGCCAGGTCACTCTCGGTTGCTTCCACGTGTCGCATGGCCTAGGGGTCGGGTCAAATCTTCCTCCATCAATTGCCCCCCACTCCCCGTGCTCGGGGTCTTGACCCGACGCGGGGAGTTCACGGGATGACAGGTGGATTTGCCTCGGGACACTTTGGCTTTGATCAGGAACTTTTCTGGTCCGGTCTGCTTGTGTTCTCGGCTCAACCAGGGTTGGCTTGGCTCGACCAGGGGTCAGTCCCGAGCTGCATGTGGCTCACGCACGCCAACGATTTCAAATTTTTAAATTTTGGAATGTGCGCACCAAAGTGTCTTTTCGTCGGGGAGTGCGCAGCTGACTTTGCGGGGAGCCGTTGGATGGTTTCGATCTTGGCCGTTGATGCGTGGGTACAGTGGCTTTAAATAGTGGGGGGGACCCCCAGTCACTTCCCTCTGTTATCCTTCAGTGTTTGTTCCTTGAGCTCGCGTCCAAACTGGCCAGCTTGCGTCACTCGTCCGTAGTTCGGTAGCTTTTCCTGGTGAGTCCTCAGCCCTTTGTTTCGATGTCTAGTTCGGGTATTTACGTAGTCTCCTGGGGGGGTCCGATGCTGGTTCTACGAACCGAGCTGCTGCCCCGACAGCCTTAGTGAGTCCGAGGCGGGGCCCGAGGTAGAGCTCGAGGAAGAGCTCGAGTTCGAGCCCGTATACCGAGTCACATCGGGTAGTTTGGCATCCACCTCCCGCCGAGGTCGGGTGCCAGATAAGTTCAGACCTTCCACTATGATGCCTGAAAGGCTTTGGTCCCTTATTGTCCAGTACAACCTGCTTGGGGAGTATACTTCATACCTTCGGGCGACTTTCCTTGGGAACACGGTCCAAATGAGATCGTGATATTCCGGGAGCAGCTTGTTGTCGGGCTGCGCCTTCCCTTTCATCCTCTTATCGTCGAAATCATGAACCACTTCGGCGTTACTATAGGTCAGCTCCACCCGAACTCTGTTCGTAACCTTGTTGGGACTATCTCCCTGTGTTGCGAGCACTGCCTTCCTTTAGACCTGGAAGTCTTTTCAGCTATCCTCATGCTCAAAAAATAGGCGGGTCCCCTGCCCGGGCGTAGGAGAGCGTACTACTTGTCACCTCGCCCGAGCTTCAAGCTTTTACACGACCTTCCAAACAAGGTCCCGGCATGGAAGCGGGACTACTTCGTGGTTCGAAGTGCTACCAGGTGGCCGTTTCCTACTGAGTGGGATTTGGCCGCTCCTGACCCCGGTGTCATATTAGATGAAGACACGGTGAAGGGCCTCTAGGACTGGAACCGGCAAGGACTCAAATGCGAAGTCTATCTGACGGAGGATAAACTCATTCAGGCCGGTCTGAGTTCGGGTAGGTTTCTTGCTCAGATAAAGATACTGTTGTTTGTGCTTTTATTCCCGTCTTTTGACGCCGAGCTCCTTTTTGCAGGTGTTATGGAGGCAGACAAGACTCGAGGTGCGAACTTGTTAGATGGCATGAAGCGGAAGAAGCGAGCTGCTAAGCGAGTTCGCGCTGATCCTTCCCGGGTGGCGGAGCCCGAGGTATTGAGGACGGAGCCTCCTGGGGAGCCCGAGGTGCCCCCTTCAGTTCAGGAGGCGGCAGG